TTTTTTTTTTTTTTTTTGAGAACCAGGGATTGAACTCAGGTCCTTGTGCTTGCCAGGCAAGTGCTTATTCTGCTGAGCCATCTCCCTGGCCCCTCGGGCAATTCTTGATAGGCTTTCGTCATCGGTTTGTAGTTTCAAGTAGAACAGAAGATATGTTTTTTAAGAGAGTAGCTGCTTAGTTTATTCTTTTTTAAGATTCATATTTTATTTGGGATTTAATTTGGAAACAGACTGTGCCACTAGGGATAATCCTGCAGAGGGAAAAACTGATGACTTAGGACAGCAGGGTCAGTTCCTGGAACACTGTCCTTAGCAGAGGGGGTAGGACCAAGGGCCAGAGTGGGAAAATTGGCTTAAATAGGAGAGTGAGTAGTTGCACATGGTTCAGAGGGAAGGCAGAATATGCAGGCACAATGGCAGTTAGGTTGGGGGGTGTGGAAGTTCTTTACTAAGTTTATTGGAAAAGGGAGGGAAAAGGATAACTAAAATAAGGGTGAAAGAAGAGGTGGAGGTTTGGAAATTGGAGAAGAGGACAGAAGATAGGAAATAGTCATACAAAGGTCAAGGGCTCATTGGAGCCACTTGCCTGGATTTGAATCCTGGCTTGACCATTTACTAGCTGTGTGATTTGGGGAAGTTATTTTACCATTTCGTACCTCTTTTAGTGTGGTTGTGAAGATTGGGTTAACATCTGTAAATGTTCCTAGCATGTTTCTGTTTGCAGCTGATGATGGGGCAAGTTAATGGGCCTAGAAGGGAAGCAATTTTGCCAGCAACAGCGAGGGCCCATGTTGGTTAGTGGCACGTGGGCCGTTCAGCATGATTTCTTCTGCCTTTCTCTGTTCAGCTCTGAGGATGCAGGTGGGAAGCAGGCTGAGACAATTGAATATGGTGTTGAGGCTTTTCATGGGCAAATGCAAAAATCACTGAGAAAGGGACAAAGAGGGTGTTTGGATTCGTGCAAAGGAGTGCTTATATTGGGGGACCGTGGAGTCTGCTGGC